GGGCAGGAAAGGTGGAGAAGGGAGGAAGATGGATGCTCTGAGAGGGGAGATTTAGACAGACTGGCAGAGAAGAGGTCAAGTTGGCTATAGTTTTATTCTGCCAATTTTACGCCTCTTTAGAGGCCTACTTTTTCTCTTCACTAACCACTGATTGTATCTCTTGTCTCAACAGAATCACCATGGACAATTCGAGTGCGCACCCCAACGGGACGGTGGTGTTCCTTGACATCTTCGAAGTATACAGCAATCACTCAGCGTCAGGGACTATCGACAGAGTCGTCACGCCAATATTTTACGTCATAGGCCTGCCTGCAAATCCTCTCAGCGCCTACATTTGGTTGAATCGAAAAACCCGTGCTAACAACTCCTCAGCCATCTATCTCGGTGCGCTGTCTATTTCCCACGTCGTGTTCCTGTTGCTTCATATTTTGCAAGAGCTCCGATATGCATGGAATATAAGTACTTACGAGGGCTACGTCTCCTGTGAGATTTTCAACATGGTCTTTTGTATTCCTCAGTATCTAGCACCTCTGCTTGTACTGGGCTTTACAGTAGAGAGGTACATAGCTATCTGTCACCCGTTCGCAAAAGAGCGCTACTGTACAGTGCGCCGAGCTGTCGTTGTAGTGATTAGTTTGTTAGTTTTCTGTATCATTATCAGCACCTTTCAAGCTTACTTCTGGACATATGACGCTCAAGTGCAGTTGTGCAACCACCGAAAAGAACTACACGAAGGAAACTTTGTGGAACTTTGGACATGGTTCACAGAACTGCTTCTCTTTGGAGTGGCGCCGCTCGCTGCTTTGGTCTTCAACGTACTCGTTATCCGTGAGATTCGAAACCTCACTTCAGGAGGTCCAGCACACACAGGAGCTGGTGGAGGTGGGAGTCAAGCATCTACAGTGACTTTGTTAAGCGTTTCTTTCTATCTTATATGCACTTGGCTTCCTTACACCATAGTCTACTCGATGTCCAAGCAGTTCCCCATCGGAGACCTCACTTTGAAGCCAGAAGATATAGAACACGACCCGACTTGGCAGAGACACTTGTTGTATCAGACTATCCGTTGCATCATGACAGAAATCACGTTGTCTAACTCAGCGTGTTATTTTTTCATCTACTACACAACGGGGAAACACTTCAGGCAACGAGTGCACGAGCTTCTATGCCCGAAACGTTGCCTCAAAACCGAGAGTCGAAACCACGGAGCCAAGCAATACATGGCTGTGTCTAAGTCTGGCAACTACAATGGGACGCTGTCGACTTGCGTGTGATTCTTAGATCCCCAAGCATAATCTCAACGTGGCTGTCTCCGCTGCCATTAAGTCGGGTCTCATAAACTAAGCTCTGGGCTTTACTCTTTGACCAAGACCGTCAGTGCCAAATAATATCGGAGATGTCTCTCCAATAGAGACGAATGTGAATCATCAAACATGAACATACCTTCTTGACTTTCCGCTGCCTGCCTTGGATATACAACATCATGGTGTTCATTTCTGTACGATCATTGGGCAAAACAGACTGAGACCCTTCTGTCAAAAGACAGCGGGCTTCAAGGAATCTTGCACTAAGCCAGCTCATATAATATGTACATAAAGCACAACCCAACTCCGTGGGAAAACGTGCGTATGAATATAGAACGATGAATCCGTGCGTGCTCCTCAGTTCTGCAGTGGACTTTAGCCAGAAACCTCGAAATAAGACTACCGTCTGGTCTCATTATTGAGAGTTCCTCTTCTCCTGGTCACAGTATTGAACTGTTGTCCTTGTACTTCCTCTGAAAACGTAAAAGGAACAGAGAAGGAAACATAACACTTATAGCAGAGACTGGAACCGTAATATTTTTGTCAGCAGTTAATGTGGATCCCATTGATGTAGACAGCAATATGGAAATCAATAATACTGCGCACTCGGCTCAAAATTATGGAATTTGAGTTGTAGGCATTTTTAGTTTCCTCAGACCCTCCTACAACTATTTCATCGCATAAGAACCCCCAAAAACCGTATGTTTTCCCATACCGGGTATGTTTATTACCACTATTTCATCATAAAGTCAATATTTTATTCTTCTTTATCGGCCGTTTTCTGGAAACGGGACTTTTCTTTATACTTTTTTCGAATAACTCCACCATTTTTTGTCCAATCTTCATGAAATGTTCACAGAATGAAGAGAAGATGTATGCTAAAAATTTGTCTGTTGAAGTTTTGATATATGGAGTAGATTTTTTTTGCTGGTGTCTGGAGTGTGGATTTTCATGGATTTTTTGCAAACTTAAATGCTACCTCAGAAAAAAAATTCATTAAAAATTTTCTAATGCGTTCAGGAAAAAAACAAAAGACAGTTTTTTAGATCTATTGTTTGTTAACACGCATGTAAAAAACAATCAATGTCCACTTGCAATAAGTGCGGTATTCATAACGTAAGACATGTCAACAAAATCCAATATGGCCGCCGTATCCATGAAAACGAAATTGTTTTCTCAAATTTGATTGCGGATTTTAAGACTCCTTACTATGCTTGTTATATGTATGGAATTTGGTAAAATATGGTCCAGTAATAGGCGAGATAGCCTTCAGGTGTAGCCCCCCCCCCCCCCTTAAGGAGCCAATACATTTCATTGGATACTTTTTATGAAGGTTAATAAAAAATTTGGGCCAACTGCCCCCTTTTCCGCAATTTTTTTTTCAGCATTACTTCCATGCTGTGTTGCCGTTGTATATTGTCCAACCGCATAACAGACAGCATATTATAGAACGTGCACACATGATGGTAAATGTTGAAAAAGGCAGTTGAAACATGACACTATTCGATATTGGAGGTCTGAGTAATACGATCTAGAGAATTTACGGTTAGCAGATTTGTATTGAGAAGTTAACTGGAGCCGGGTTGTTTGTTTTTTAACTGAGGTCCCATTTAAAGACCCTTTAAGAAAAGAACTTCAAGCTTTGCTAATCAACAGTATTTCAAAGAAATGGGGTTGGAAAAACGAGTCCCTATCACACTAAAGAACAAAATCCAAATTGTATGTGGGCACTTCACTGAAATTTGTAAACCTCTTCAAGGGCACTGAAATTAGGGGTAAAGAAAGGAACTTGACTTTTTTACTTTCAGAACTATTTAAATGTTTGTGCTATCTTTGTTAGTTTAGGAGCAGCGACCGCTTTGTGAATCAATTTACGCTCTAATCTGGCAAAATTTGTGCCACCGAATTTCCAAATCGTGTTTCAAAATGTTCTAAAATCCTATTATGGTTGTATCGTAACCATTGAGGGACCATTTGTTTAAAATGTAGAATCCAATAAATGAACAATAAAACATCAAGTAGGCCTACTTTGAGGGTAACATTTTATTTAGCGTGTTATTGTATCATAAGCGTGATGTCAGGAGTCCGATGCATATTATCCAAAATAGAAACGGGCACACTCTCAATCACAACTGTCCGATTTTTTCTAGTAAAACATCACTGGTTTTATTAAAAAGAGCTCTTCAACTTGTTATTGGAAAAAAATGAATAAGATGGAAAACAGTTCGTTCCTACATGCATAACTCAAGCGGGTGGTTGGCGGATGCTCTGAGGTGTGGTTTGCTTCTTTTCATTTTCGGAAAAAACATTTTTCCGTCCTCATCTGTCCTTTTTCTTTTCTTGTATGTAACTTTCTTGTAACACCTCTGATCTTCGACACTTATATGACCGTATTGTATTGCAAGTGTCGCTAAACTCTTACTTAAATTAAATTAAGGCATAATACAGATTTGAAGAATGCTTAACGAATATGATATAAAGCCAGAGATTGATACAAGAATCACCATATAATTGATGATTACTGAGGAGCAAAAGTGCTTACTTTGTTGCAACTAGCATCTGTCTTCATGGTCGCTTTTTTGCCATCAGTAAAAAAAAAAAGGAGTTATACTAGTAATAGGCTACTAATACAAGTCCAGTGAGTCGTGGAAGGGTGAGTATGGTGGGGATGAGGGAAATAAGATGACAGGAAGGATACACAGAATATACGTGAAAAGATGGGAACACACGGAAACAGAGACAGAGAAATCACAGTGGAAGTGTTCAGCTAGGTTTTCGTGGATTTGGTTGATAGAGGAGTAAAACTACCTTAGCCAAGGTAAGACTTCTAAGATAACCATTTAAATGATATCTGGTAGAACAAAGAATGGTGTTTCAACATGGGTAGTTAAAAAAAAACAACCAAAGCGAGTAGATTTCGTATAATCGTTGAATATAAATTGCCTATTTTTTAACTTGAAATATCTCGAGAGGCGGGAGTCACACATCGACGTTGTTAAAACCCTCTTGAAGGTCATTCGAAGCTTTTATAAAACGTGTATCAGACTTGGTTCTTCTCCCACAAAATTAAACAAGAATACCAGCAGCTTGAACCCACCGTCTCGATGAGACTTTATGTCCGGAAACAAAACTCAATGGAACTTTCTAAAGCTCAATTGCGCTGCAATAAGCACGTTCACTGAAGAGCCTAACTTTGTATATATATATACACCCACATGCGCGCGCAACCTCTCTCACACATAAAGTCACATTTTCAGCTCTTCCTTTGAGGAATTCGAAAGTTGAAGGACGTCACTGTTGGTAGTAGTGTTAAACAGCAGGTGTTTGCAGAAGCTGACGGTCAGAGCTTGAGAAAATGGGGTAGGTGAGGTAAGGGGGGGGGGGGGGGAGGCTGGATTCTACCTTCTCTGATTTTTACGATGTACATAACAAACACGTGGCATAATTTCATGTGAATATTCCAGATTTGTAAATAATAGGCCCATAACTTTAAACAATGCTTTTTTCCATACTGATACTTTAAATATCCTTTCTTTGTATTGAAATAATTTAACCTCTTAGATAAATGCGCCAAACTCATAACATAACACAAACACTAGGAATGCAGACATTAAATTTGAATGGGAAATTACCGGGGACTAAATCCATGTTCACTATTACCCCTTCAAACCCCGACGAAACGTTTTGCGCTGTTTTATGTTCTTGTCGGTATTCTGCACGTTTTCAGGAGCCTAACGGAGTGATTAAGCCAAAGTGTGTTCGTCTTAAGCGTCTTTCCTGAGAACCAGTGGTTAAGTGAAATGACCCCATACTTCATTGTCGTCTTTACTTTTTTATTTTTGTTACGGCAAAGACATATTGTGCCACGGCGGAGGTTTGGGTGAGTAGGGGTTGGGCTACTCTGTGACAAAATGAGTTGTCACTTTCTCCCCCCCCCCCCCCCGTTCCGTTGGTTGGAAAGTTATCGAAGGTAAATTAACCTTATTTGCTTTTCGATAGCCTTTTGTTTTACAAGACGCTTTGCCGTGTTTCTATGCAGTTGATGGCTAGTGAGACATTCATTTTTTCTACGGAATCCTAGGGAGGTTGTGCGTTCTCAGGCGAGATTTTGAACATTGGAACATTTGACTTGCCCACATGTCTCTTTGAAATATGGCAAAAGAAACTCACACTAATTGCAAGCTCCCAACAACAGACTCTGAGTAAAGATGAGGCCAAAGTTTGATATATGTTCATTAATTGAAAATGAATGCCCTTAAGTCGAACTCATGTTTAAAACAATAAACAACATGGGAATGTGTCCTTCGAGAGTGGAGTGTGACAATGTGAGTGAGCTCTCAACATCACACTAACCCGCACTCCAACTAGAAAGCAACTAGGAGTTTCAAATCTGAGCATAGTTAGCAAGGTCCCCGCATAGATACGACAGATATGTAACTAGGTTATTCCACCATACAGTGTCGGTCCTTTGCTGCCTCTGTGTGTCGTCTGGATCAGTGGCCGAAAGTCACTACCCAAGCCTGAAGTCCGTAGAAACACCCACCAATCACGTGCAAAATTGCGACAGGTTTCACCTGTCAACAATCTATCCGAAACTGAAGGCATTTCACTGATGTCAAACTTTGCTCAGTGCTCAGAACGTATAAACTTAAAACCGTTTGATTACCGGTGTTGCCTGGTGGGATTTTATATCCAACACTCCACTCAGGTGCTCCAAAAATACCCCTGAAATATCCAAAACGTACAAACTATGAGTCACCATGGGGTACGACGCCACATCCTCCATTCTGTTGAATTGAGAATTTAGAATGAAAAGGTCAGTCAGACAGAAAATTGTGAAGTTGCATGAGCTGTGAATCAGAAACACTGTAAGGTTATGAGCAGCCACTTTAGCTTGGCATCAAGCTTTTATTTAACAGTCATTTGTATGAACCATGAAGCTGTTGTTTGATAAAGGAGTGTTTTGTATGAACTAGGTAGTTACAAAAATGTTAATTCTTTAATGTTCTGAAAAGGTGATTGTAGAATGTGATCAGCACACTAATAACGCATTTGTAAAGACTGTAGTAGCTAGCAACATAACTGATCGTTTCTAATGACACGAAGAAGATAAGGTAGATTGAGAAGGTGAGAAACAGTCTGAGAGGGAGAGAGAAGGTGATAGATAAAGAGAGAAAGATAGAACGAGAACGAGAGAAAAAGATAAAGAGAGAGAGAGAGAGAGAGAGAGAGAGAGAGAGAGAGAGAAAGAGAGAAAGGATAGAAAGACAGAGAAATAGATATTAATTTGTTTGTTAGGAATGGTCGCCTTACCTGTTATCCTGTAGAGGAGAGGAGAAAGAAAGAAGAAAGAAAGAGACAGAAAAAGAGACAGAGAAAATTGAGAGAAAGAGAGAGAGAGAGAGAGAGAGAGAGAGAGAGAGAGAGAGAGAGAGAGAGAGAGAGAGAAGACAAAGAGAGAGAGAGATAAATGGTGGGGTGTTCCAATTCCTTGTTGACCTTGTTCTAAAAAGGACGCATAGCTGAGTAATAATTCGGTTTTTGAGATTCCTTCCGATTCGTTTTCAAGATATTCATCAATACAAATGTTGCCATCAGCAGACGAGATTGCTTCATTTTGATTCAAAGTTTTATATTTCTTCTCAAATTAATGCCTTCAGGCCCAATAGATAGCGATGCAAGGGACCGGCGAGCCAAATTAGAATACAGTTACAACTCCTGATACATCTGTTAGAAAATAATGTTGGTGTTTTTACGCCCCTATTAACACAATTAAAATTTATATCAATTGGAATGCAGGCTTCGACTCTGCCTAACTGAGCCAACCCGGCTGACAGGGATATAACATAATCTCAATAG